AGACTTGACGGCACATAACAACAACAACAATGCATCTGAAATTTAGACAATGAATAAAGATAACAGAAGGATCGATGCCTTGGAATTGTTCTGTTGGAGAAAAAGACTGAGTATCTCATGGACTGTCAAAAGAACACATTAGTCTGACAAAAGTTCATCTCTCCTACTTTGTATGTTGTTAGGAGAAGCTAGTCCATGGAAAAAGAGATTATGCTGAGAAAGGTAGAAGGTCATAGAAAGAGAAGACAACCTTCAACAGGATGGATTGACAGAGTGACTGCATATTAGAGATGGTGAGGAAAGGGCAAAGTTATCTGTTGTTCACAGGGTCACTAAGAGTGGTATCGGATCCAATTACACTAACAACTACCAATCTCTGTGTGATGAGACAGTGTATACCACCTGCTTCAGGGAAGCTCCAGCCACTGTGAAAAAAAGCTTTACTACCCAGGGAGATTTTTAGTAACAACCAAGACCACACAATAGTCATGAGTCTGAGTCTTCGCTGGTAACAGTAACTTCCTGCAACAGAGGCCCAAAGCAAGAAAGAGCCCTCTTTATCTGTGAGGGCCCCTTACTCCGGAACCCACATACTTCTTTTAAGACACCCACAGAGATCATAACCACCACAACTACCTCTCACAGCTGTCTTCAATCTTATGCAGAAGATCATGGATTAAATTGTGTCTTTCAAAAGTATGTGCCAACTTGGCTGGGCCAGGCAAGGATGATCTGGCAGTTATACAATGCTGTGATCATCCCATGATGTAACCTAATCAATCAGTGGATCAGCCGGAAGAAGATCAGGGTGAGATGCAACACCTTTATCTGGTCACAGAGATCAACATAAGGATAGATTCTTGGAATGTGGCCTGAAACATGTTCTTGCTTATAAGAGATAAAAGGAAAGATAAGCTAGCAGGGAAGATGGAACTGACTACCACCAAAAAGGTAGGATTGAAACATATCCTTTTGATTCAGGATCTGCACGAGAACCTCTTAGGCCCAAAGCAGCTCATTGTTGTCAAGTTGGAATCAACACACAGCTGACCCTCCAGTGGTTTCCGAGAGGCTGTAAACCACATTGGAGGAGACTACTCAACTTTCTCCCAAGGAACAGCTACTAGACTTGAACCACCTACTTTTGGGTTGGCAGCACAACTCCTTACCCACAAGGCCACAGAGCGTCAGGGGCAAATTAAAGCCAAGACCTATACAAATATTAAAGAATATCAGATGCACAGATGCTGAAAGGAGATAAGGGCTTGTGTCCAGAGTAAACAAAGAGGACACCTAACACTTGAGATGGCATCCTGAGTTAGATTTTCTACCCTCTTACTTTGAGAGAAATAATTTATTTGTTAAAGCTGTCCACTTGTAATGTCTCTGCGATAGCAGCACTTCATAACTAAGAGACACACAGTAGAATTCAGCTTCTTCAGTCCACAAGAGACAGAGAGAGAGGCTCATTCCTGTCATTCCACACATGCATTTTGGTGAGATCTGTAGCAAATCCACACTAAGTTTTGAATGGGCTCTATTGTGTTTCTATACTCATCCTGCTAGACACAGAGTTATCAAGACTGCCTACTTAGAAATGGTTCAGAAACAACTGTTGGGTTTCTTGTTGACATATGGAGTCCTTGGATGGTGAAAACCATTTAAAGCCACAGCTGCTAACCAAAAGGCTGGAAGTTCAAGTACAGCCAGAGGTGCCTTGGAGGAATCTACTTCTAAAGAATAAGGCATTGAAAACCCTGAACTCTCACACTGGTAGGATTGTCAAGAATTGGAACTGACTTGACAATAACTAATTTTATTGCCATATTTACACTTGAACAGTACATTTACAGAGAACTACCAGAAATACAGGTTGGGTTTAGAAGAGGTCGTGGCACTAGAGACATTACTGTCAATGTCAGATGGATCTTGACAGAAAGGAGAGAAGAATGTCTAACTGTGTTTCACTGACAATGCAAAAGCATCTGACTGTGTGAATCACAATAATTGTGGCTAACCTTGAAGAAAATGGGAATCTCAGAACACTTGATCATGCTTATAAGAAAACTATACTTGGACCAAGAAGCAGTCCTCAGAACAGAGCAAAGAAACACTGCATGGTTCAAAATCAGGAAAGGAGTGCATCAGGGATGCACCCTGTCCCCATACTTTTTCAATCTGTATGCAGAACAGATCATTTGGGAAGCAGGGCTTTATGAGGAGGAATGTGGCATCAAGATTGGAGGAAGACTCATTAACAACCTACGATATGCAGATGACACACCTTACTTGCTGAAACTGAGGAAGACCTGAAGCATTTGCTGCAAGTGGTCAAGGACTGTAGTGAAGTCTTCAATATGGACTGAAGCTCAATATCAAGAAGACAAAGATTCTCAACACTGGGCCAATTGGCAGGACCATAATAGATGGAGAAGAGATTGAAGTTGTTAGAAATTACAGCTTGCTTGGACCCACAATCAACACTCTTAACACTGGCAGTCAAGAAGATGAATTGCATTGGGAAAATCTGCTGTCATGGACCTGTCCAGAGGTCTGAAGAGCAACAGTGTCAGTCTAGAGACAAAGGTGCGCCTAATCCAGGCCGGTCTTCTCAATTACATGTTGTGCTTCAGAGAGTTGGACAATGACTACGGATGAAAGAAGAAGAGATGCCTTTGAGTTATCATACTGGAGAAGAGTCTTGAACATACGACTATACCATGAACTGCTAAGAAAACAAATAGATCTGTCTTGGAGAGGGTGAAACCAAGTCTCTCCTTGGAGGCTAGGATTCTGAAGCTCCACTTCACTTACTTTGGGCACGTGGTCAAGAGAGATTGGTCTTTGGTGGATGGACAGTGCAGGAGAGGGAGACCCCACATGGGATGGATTGAAACAGTAACTGGGACAATGAGGGTTGGTGTGTAGGAATTCATGAGCCTGGTTTAGGACAGGGAAAGGTTCAGAGCTGCTGTACAATGGGTCACTATACAGTGGAGGTTAACTCAATGACACATAACAATAGTAACACCACGCTTCAACAATTTAGATCCTCCCAGAAGAGCTGTGGGTGAGCTTTAACAGTACTGGTAAGTATATTCATTTTCTCCTGGACACAAGAGCCTACTATTTGGTCCTAAAAGCCTTCTGAGATCCCAATTCTTCTCACTATTTCTTAGTTGTTGAAATTGACAGAAAACCTCATAAGCAGTTCCTTACTTTACCTCTGCCTTGCATGCGGACTTCTGAGCTGTAAAACAACCCAGTGGTAGATGGAATTTGCAGCAGGACTTAAGAACAATAAATGACATAGTTGAGCCTCTACATCTTGTGGTTCCTAACCTTTATACTATAATAGACAAAGAGCTAGTCAATAAGCCTTTTATTTTCAGAACTACCTTCCCTCTGTAACTTGATTTGTGCCACTGTTAGAACCTCTACTTGGAATATTATTGCTTTTAATTTTTGACTCATGTACTTTTAACTTGTTAGTTGTGTCTTCTAGGCTGCAACACTTCCATGATACATCTTCAAGAATATGAACATGTACGGCTAAGCACAATTGATAACAGTGCACCTAAATTCCAAAATCAATCTCCATAATAGTCCATGTGTTTCCTACTGCCAAGGGGGCCCTTTAGAGTAGTGAGAGAAGACATTCACCCTGAAACCCACAGCGTCCCTTTTCAGCAGGAAGTAGCTAAGAGAATACGCCATCCCCTTTTCCTTATGAATCAGGGTGAAGTCTCTCTCAGGGAGGAGTGATAGGGAATGGCAAGGGACACAATGACAAAGGAGATTAATCAGAACTGGCTTTGACAAGCACTGTGGCAATTGGACAATTAAAACAGACATGGCGGGGGGGAAGAAGAACGAACTGGGGATGAGGGTGGAGAAAACAGTGCAACAATGAATGAATGAAAACCCAAAATCTCTGTAAATGTTCATTAAAACTAATAAAATTTAATAAAAATTAAAAAAAAGAAAAACAAAAACAATAGTAACACCGTATGACAGGTCTGGAAGCAGTAGTGGCATCTATTTCCTAAATAATATGCTTCAGGAAACTCTATGAACTTTGATAAATGTTGATAGTTGTAGAGTAGAGGGGCTTTAGGCCTTTCATTCATAGGGTCACTTTGAATTGTGCTTGACTCGAAGGCAATCAATAACAACAAAATAATATAAGGTGGAGGAAGGTCAGTGAAAGAGAGAAAGATTGTCAACAATTTGGACCAACACAGTGACTATAACCATCAGACTGTGTATCAGAGATGCTGAGGATGGCACATGATAGGGCAAGGTCCAAATCTGCTGTTCACAGGGTCACTATGAGTCATATTCAACGTGATGACATCTAACCACAACAACAACATAAAATAAACGAGCTTATGCAAGGTAAATGTTTCTCAGTCTTTCAACCACATAAGAGGACTTTCTAACGGAGAAAGAAATGAATCATGACACATTCTAAAGCCAAATATAAGTAATTGTCTCCTAAGCTTTTGTTTTATGGACCCTGGACAGAAAAATCCTGTGTTTTCATTTGCTTACCACATATTATTATGAAAACTAACATACAGGAAAAAAAAAATCTCAAATTAGATTCTGAAGAAAATCCTATGCTGAGCGTATATACAGAAAAACAGCAATTCATCATTTTCTACATATAAAACTCACTGATTGCATTCTCCACATCATACAACCATTCTCATCCTTTTCTGAGTCATTACTCCCTTGGCGAACTCATTTTCAACTAAGCATATGTTTATAATGTTTGGTTTTTTGGTAAGTATTATATATTGCAATTGTATATTCCAGACCATATATGCTAGTGTTTGGAATAATAAAAAGACCATTAAGAACTCTGCTCCAACTTACCCTGAACTCATACTCTATTAAACTTCCTACTTCATCTTCTGATTTCATAGCTTGCTCACCAACAACCATACCTCCGAAATACACCTGGGAAGGCTTAGCAACACTGTTAAATTAAAAAACACCAGCTTTAGCAAAGGGTTGTAAATGGTTCTTTCAAACATTGATTTGTTAGGCTAAACACAAACACTTACCCAGAGACCGATAAAAGCAGTTCAATAACCACTTTTGCTTTAGCTGTAATTGAAGCCAAATTATCCTGATTGCTTGTTCTGAAATGAAAAGGAAACAAAAGGGCTTTATTTTTAACAGTCAGTGTTCATATTACAATTACACTTCTTGTATAAGCTAGATCAGGGCCAATTCATCGACTGCCTGTGTTTTCACGAAATACTATCGAATGGAAAAAGTTGAAGTAGCTCTTACGTCTCCAGCTTCAGATTAATATCCAGATCTGTGGTGTCAAAGGTGACCTCCGTTGTACTTAAAATAAAATAAAAAGTCACCTAGAAAACATAAATAGCTGTTAACACAGGCCAAGTAGATCAATACTGTAATAGCATTCAAAACTATAAAATAAAATATGTGAGAGCGTCACCTACGTTGGAGTTTCTTTTAAAAGGATTTCCAAGCTCACAGTCTGCTTGTGAGCCATTCTGGTTGGCAACACAACTCAGCTGTTTCTCCTAGAAGAGAAGAATGAATGAGGTCACAACACAGTTATGTGCCATACACTGTGGGGTTCTTCTCCCAGCTGGTCTCTAAAGATACTTACAGGGGAAGACCTCAGCTCCCTGTACGCAGAGTAGGTCAGTGTGTCCGGAAACGTTGCAATGAGTTTGGCTTCATGGGCGTCGTCACCATCCCTGGTGGGATCTCTTGGATTGGAAGGGCCATTTGTCACTGTTATTTCTAAAGCAATGTCCTTCTGATCTTTCAGAACTAGTTCTGGTACACCTTTATGACTATTTAAAAACAACAACAATGAAAACATCAAAGTCCGCAATATATTGGTCAGTAACTGGTTTTTAACAAAAAGCCATTGCAAAGCCAGAGCCATTGGCTATTGGTAGGGTGATCCTTACATTGGTAAATAAGAAAATTTGTCTTGATTGCCTTCTCGGGTACAGAACTTATATTCCAGTTTAAGGTTGCTGTTACATATGTTGTCGCTTCCACATCCTTCTTTTAAGAAGTGTACCTGAAGGGAAACAAACCATGTGTACTTAACATGATCCAGGATTCTAAATGGGCAACGCTCTTCTCATCCTGTTCATTTCCCTTCATTCCAAGGTCACTTCTGCGTTCCAGTTTCAGCAATATCTTGTCAAGAACCTAATTCCCACTCCGCCCTTTAATGTTTTAAAAACAATTTGGCAAGGAGGTACACAGCATGAGTCTTTCTGCCCTCCCCAGACGTGCATTCCAAACTTGGCCCTGTCACCACTGACTGTGGTTTTGGAAAGTGACTTAACCACTCAGAGTTTAAATTTTATCAGGAAACATGGGACACCGTCATCCTACTTTACAAGGCTACTATAAAAATGATGAATAATGAAGATGTTAGGTGCATTGTTACCTATTTTAATTCCCTTGATTCTCCCAACAGACCTATGAGGAATGTGCTATTATCAGTTCCATTATACAAAGGAACAATCAGAGCTTAAGGTCAGAAAACCAAGAGTATTTATTTAGTACAATGTTACTCGTTTACTCACTGACAAATAATTGGGAAAATTGTCTTGTTATGTTTAATATAACTTTAGATCTGGGAACATACACAGAAATACTAATATAATAACATTGCTATGTGCCATCAAATTGTAACTGATGCTTAGATGACCCTCCAGTAGGTTTGCAGAGACTGTAAATTGCATGAGAGGAGACTACCCATCTTTTTCCTGCAGAGCACCTCGTAGATTGGAACCACTTGCCTTCTGTTTGGTAATGTAACTCACTACTACCTAAAATTATAATAAAGAACATCAAAGATTGAGGGCTTTCCAAATCCTAAGGACTATACTGGTGGTAGAAAGAACTGACGGAGTCTAGATTTAGGTATTAGCTCCTAAGTCAAATGCAGTGACCAGTTAATTTGAAGCGCTAAATCCATCATCCACCAGAACTGTGGGGAAGGGGGTCTCTAGCATCAGCAGGATCTGTGCTTGTGTGGAAGCGAGATGTCAGAGAGGCTGAACAAACCCCTCAGACTACTGTCCTGAGATCACCTTTAAACCTTCAACCAAAAATATCCCTTCAAGTCCTCTTAAAATCAAACGATAGTAACGAGCAGTCTGTCTTAAGCAAGCACGCTTTCAAGAAGTATGCATATACAACCTGACAACAGCAACCTGAAAGGCTAAACAGGAATCCTGAGTAGGCGTGGGGAGCACTAAGTTTATATTAATGATGGAGGAACAACTCAGAAAAGGAGGGTAAGAATGGTTGCACAACTTGAAGAAAGGAGTTGATATCACTAAAGTGCATATGGAGAAACTGTTGAGTTGTGGATGTGTTGCTGTGCCTAGTCTCAACAAAATAAAATTTAGCTGGGGCGGGGGTGGGGGCAGGGTGAGGAATGCATCACTCCTGCCCAACTATGGCTCCCAACCACCCAAACTCTTGCAAACTGCCTTCACTTCATATGAATAGAATAGCCATAGAACATAAATTCTTCTTTCTAAGATTATGTAGGCTCTATGAGGCACTTGATGACTAATTAATTGCTAGTATTTTATACTGCTGGATTTGATAGTCCTTGATTTTATTATCTGTCATTCAAACTAACTACAAAAAGTTTGTCTTCAGTCTAATGTTCTTAAATGTACCCTTCTACATGTAGCTAAAGGAAAGGCCTGATATGAGAATAATAAACTCTGCCAGTCATAAAGTTTCAATGAGTTGCAATGGCCAAAATCCATGAAAAGAACATACTCTGTGCTTCCAAATTATTTATTTTGTACATTTTTTATATTCATTGCTAATTTGGGAAACACATCTATCTTCTTGGAATAGTACATATCCGAAAGTCTGATACAAAGGAATAGCCTCTAAAAATTGTTAGTTCTACTGCTTTCAAAAGCATTTGATTTAGCAGGATATTATGAAAAAACAAATGCAATACAGAAACCAGACAGACTTACATCTGTATGTGCAGCTTTGGGTTCATTTGAATTCAGAATTGGGAGAACTTCTGGGAGTGAATTTACTCGCCTACGAGTGCCAGGCTCCTGGATCTCTACTGACGCAGTTATGGGGATGGGGCGCAGTTTGTCTCTGATATTTTCCTACAAAGGATGCAGTGATATAGTTAAATATGGCATACATGGAAGGATGCTATTGAAGAAGTCCAAAATGATGCCTGGTTTTGTAATGAATAATGGAATCCAAAAATAAAATTAATAAATCTGTAAACACCACCATAAAACCCAACTTTCATCTCCTTTGTGAAACCATCTTGGCCACCTGCCGCCCTCACCTGCAGCCAGAGCGTCTCCTCCACGCACACCTTCTGCTCCTGCCTCAACAAAGTCAGCAGCTTCGTGGACTTGGGCTCTGAAGCTTGGTTTCCAAAATGAACTCTTGATGACAGCCCAGATTTCCTTCTGTCCTTTTCAGCCTCCAGTGTGGCCACAAGTCCTAGGGAAAGGACCCAATTCCTATGAACTCCAAGGGCATCATGCAAAAATCAGTCTGTAAGGATAGTAAGCTGCCTTTAAAAATATCTTTTCGACTTCTTAGAGAAGAATATGTTTTCCACTGCCAATGCTTTCCTTTGTATTTCCTGCTGCATACATATCAGCATGAGGGAGCTCACATGGTCTAGTGAGTAAGGAGTTGTACTGTCAAACCAAAGGTGGTTTGAATTGAATAGCTGCTCTGAAATATAGGTTTCTCGTGTGATCTACAGCCTATGAAAGCCTTCTGGAGGGTCAGGTGAATTGGTTCTGCCTCTGTGTCACGTAACAACACACATCAACAACTCATGATGCTCACTATGCAGTTATCTGTGTCCTACCACTGCTGTTAACTAGGCTTCAAAGTTAATTCTCATCAGGCCACCTGGGGGAGCTCGAGAATAAGTGAAATCCTCTCAACAGAGTCTGCAATGAATCAATCGTTTACAGGCTGAAATCAGTGAGTCACAGAACACCTAAGCTCTAGAGGGGTCAGGTCCAATAGTCTCTTCAAAGGATGGGTTATCAGAGATGGGGAAGGAGGGAGAGGGGAATAAAAAGTAATAAATAAGATAAACTGAGCAAAGGAAAAGGCAATCCATAAAATAAGAGCTTGATCAGACATTGTAATCAACTAATTACATTAATCAATTGTAATTAATGTTGCAAAATTGTGTATAAGCAATGAGTGAAAAACCAGTAGGATATATAAACTTTTATTTATTTCAAAACCAAAAAAAAAATTATATACATAAATAAAAGCCAAAGAATCCCCTGCGATTGAGTTGATTCTGACTCAGGATCTGTGAAGCTGTACATTTTAGCAGGAGCAGACTGCCTCCTCTTTGTCCCATGAGAGGGTTGGCAAAGTCAAACTACCCAATTCTCCATTAGCAGCCTGTCCACGAAGGCTCTGTGTTGAAGCCTCGCTGGTCACAGGGACCTCCAGAACAGCAGCAGCAGCATCCTCCTAGAGCCTCTAAGAGTGCAGAACCTCAGGCTCCACAGGAGAACCAACAAACCTGAATTCACTGCAAATGGGACCGCTGGTGATTCATGGGTATACTAAGGCCTGAGAAGCACAAACCAGGATACCTGGAGAGCATGAAAGGAAGCACCCCATCTACTTGCTGAAAGGTTGGCAGTTGGGCCCTATCTATCCAGAGGAACTTCCAGAGACAGGTCTGGTGATCTGCTTCTGAAGGGCCAGAGCCTTGAAAACCTACTGTTCTACTCTGCACACACATGGGGTCAAGGTCACTATGACTCGGATCCTGATTCAATGTCAACCAACAGAGGGTGAGGGGTTGGGGTGGAAGGAAGGGTGGGAATCTACAGACAGTAGGATGACTTTTTTCCCAAAATGCAGACCCAAAAAGGAGAATGCATTCCTTAATGGCTAGACGGCACTTTGTCAAGGGTGACTCAGCTCCACCATCTAAGCCCCAAAGCATGAGACACAGCTCCACGATCTATCCTAAAGGAGCATGGAGGTGAGCCAGGGCAGGATCATGAACATCTCATTTCTTGACTCTAAAATACATTCTTTGTCAGTTCACTGGATATAGCTGCTAACTAGGTTTTTCATGGGCCAATACTCAAATTACTCATTTTCATTAAACACTCCATGCCAGACAAGAAAGCAAACCAAACTGCACAAGGGACAGAGAAATCAGCCTTGAAGAAAAAAAAATCTGTGACAGGGAATGTAGAAGATGAAATGCCCGTCTCCTAATATTCACATTAAAGTTGGAAGAGACTACTTAGATATTTTAATTCCCTTTTTTCCCCCCAGATGGTAAAATGGAGACCTAGCTGAGAAACTGGTACATTTACACAATGGAATACTATGCAGTACTAAGGAACAATGCTTTCTTAAAATACTATGCAACATGAGAGAGTCTAGAGCATATTACGCTGAGTGAACTCAATCTCATAAGGATAAGTACTACCCAAGATCATTATTGTAAAAATAGAAAGATAACTAATTAAGACCTGTCTAAAATGTTCAAAAGGGGATAGGGGAGAAGGAGGCATAAAAAGGAGGAGGGAAATCACTAAGATAGCAGAGGTTAGCGGGTGGATGTGGGGTGAAAACAGGAAAGATTCAAAGATCACTTGAAAGGTAGGGTAATAATAGGTATAGATTAAAGTGCAACAATAAATGAATGGAAAACCAATGTCTCTGTAAATTTTCATCGAAATTAATAATAAATTTAAAAAAGAAAAATAGGTATAGAATAATAGTAATTATATAAAAAATGTATATGAATGATTATATAAAATATAATGTACATGAATAAAACACAATGTAAAGGAAGGATTGTATAAAACACAATGTACAGGCATAAAACACAATGTATCTTAATTATTATGTGCAAAACAACAACAATAAAAATTTTAGAAGGAGGAGAAAAACTGTAGACCCAGCAATGTAAGTCACTATCCTAGGACCACACAGCAAGGAACAGAGGCCACATCAGCTTCTATCACAAATGTTAAGGGTCGTGGTTTTATACGGGCTCCTAGATGTCCAGGTTTTCCCTGGCCTCTGCAAGAACCCTATCTTTTCTCCTTTTCTACTTGTGTCCCTTCCTCTTGCTCCTTCAGAGCTTAACCTGGACTTTACTTCCTCAACCAGGTCCTCCTTGGATACCTTGTCTGATCCTGGTTGTTATGTGCTGTCAAACTGGAATCAACTCCTAGCTGATCTTTCAACAGGTTTTCAGAGGTTATAAACCACATGGGAGGAGAGTGCCCATCTTCCTCCGCTGGAGCAGCTGGTGTATTTGAACTGCCTGCCTTTGGGTTGGCAGTACAACTCCTTATCCACTAGGCTACCAGCTCCCTCTGTCTGATCCTAGAGTATTGATATTTCTCTAACCACAGTTACAAAAGCATGAGCATATCTCTTAGTGGCAGCTCTCTAGGTAGCATGAGTGGTTAATATGATGAGCTACTTACTAACCAGAAGGTTAGCAAATCAAGTCTAGCTAAAGGTGCTTTGAAAGAAAGGCCTGGTGATTTATTTCTAAAAAACCAGCCATTGAAAACCCTATGGAGCACAGTTCTACTCTGGCACACACTTTCCCCCTCTCCCCCCATCCCTTAGTAGAGCAAAAAGCCAAGTCAAGGGACATGTCAGTCTTGTTTACCAGGGTATCCCTCGGGAACTACAAGTATATAACATATATTAATATAAAATTTGTAGGAATAAATGAATGAAAATTGAGATGCATATCCACGCATACACACAAAACCACGTCATCCTATGTGGAAATGATGGTTATTCAGACATCTAAGGCCAAAACTCAGAAACACTTGACAGGTTCAATAGTAATTTGGGCCCATCTGAAGAATTCTTAAATGTCATCAGTGCTGAGTGGAATGCTCCCCATTTTAGGTCCTCTGTAGCCCTGACATCACCCACTTATCAGCGACCTGAGAACATCACAATGAACCACCGCAAGACGCGCAAGCTGAGTGCCCCTCGCAGCAAGTCGGGGAGGACGTGGGTGCATTAAACCACTCATTGACCAAGGCGCTCTGACCTTCCCTAGCCCTCCAGACAGTTCACATCATCTTAAAATCCTCACCGGCCACCTCTGCTGACATTCTGAGGGGCAAGACAAGCAGAATACTCATTAAGGCTCAATTAGACATCTCCGTACACATCAAGTACATCTAAAGACTGCTGGGTTAAAACAGCCCAGCCAAACAATAAGCTCACACTCTCAGATACCAGGGGGATAGATGAAGATGGATTAAGTCAGCCAGCTTTTGGAAGTTCTGTTTTATTAGATTCAGAACTTTCCAATATTGTGGGAACACAGAAAATGACAGTAAAGAGGTTTGTTTATTTTTTTGCTGAGTATCTGCAGAGAGAGAGAAAAAAAAATCTATCTGCAATAAACCATCAATAAATACCTGGTTAATGGAGCAGCTTGAGACTATAAAGATATTAGCACACAGGGTATAAAATGTGGCATTAACACTAAGAGAAAATTTGTAGCTTATAGTATAGAAATAATTGACTTGGGAAGGAAGGAGAAGCACTTACTTAGATGAAATTTCACATCTACAGTCAATCTGAGAGTGGTCTGGACAAAATGATAGTGAGCTGAGTAGAATAAAAATGTTTCCCCACTTCATCTCCCCTGGGCAGTCCAAGAGTCACTGCCTCTCCTTGTCTCTCAAGTTCACTTGCAATGAATGATGAAAGCCTGCTATCCAAGTGGGCAAGTGCAAGGTAATGCATCTGGGTAAAAGCAATGCAAACGACAATGAATCCTGAGGAGGATAGTTGATGTGTCCTTGCCATTAAAAGCCACACTGAGTATAGAATTGCTTTCTATCTTTGAAAAGATGCCAGCCACATCAAAGAGCAATGTGAAAAACCCTGGCTTACCGGTGCACACAATTCTAACACATTTACACTGAGAATGCACAAGGCCAGGGTGTGCAACGTGCAAGGAAAATGGAGTGCAGCAGGACACCGTCCGGTAGAGAGGAGCTAAGACCAGAGAGACAAAGAAACCACCTCTGAGGACAGTGTAAACACTAGGAAGACGAAAGTCAGGTGTGCAAATGACAGTTCAAGGATACAGAAGTGTGAAGTGGGTGAATGGACTAATCCTAGAACTCTGGGATTTTAAAAAGAGACCTTTTAAAATAAAAAGAACACAAAACAGTCCTTAGCTAACATGGGACAGGCTGGGGAGGAGTTAATCACATTTTCATCTTTTAGGTGGAATATCTCATTTTGAATCAGGGTCCTACTATAAACTAGATACCATCACTGGATTTTTATGCAAATATTGCATATGTCATCCATGTTCTGCAAACCTTAAGATTGGTTTCCTACATGCACTGTGTGTTTGTGCAAAAAAAAAAAAAACAGGGTATCTGTGGGGTACTTAGTAGAATCGATTACCTGAAGGTGGGGTAAGGACTAGAAAACAAATACAAAACCAGCAAGACCGCTTTGCCCTTACTCAAACCTTCCCTTGCTATCAAACACTGAGGTGACAGGGCTGTACGTGGGTGTTGCTGAACTGTGTGGTTCCAGAGGACAAGCAAGGATGCTCACCCTCTCGCTCTTCTCATTTTTTCTTTGCAAAGAAAAGAATTTCTTTAAATCCCCATATACTTCCTTGACTGAATCAGATGACTCCTACATGAAGATGAGAGGCTTCTACTGAAACATACAGGGGAAGTCTTATTTGTCCAGGTGCTCTTAGACGTCAGATAGGATCACGATTGCTGTCAAGTCAGCTCTGACTCACATTAACTGTTACCCAGTAAAACAACCTTCCTTAGGATTTTTCATTACTTAAAAAAAAAAAAAAGTAGATTACCAGGTCTTTTTTCAGACCTGGTGTACCAAATTTGATCACCTTTTGGTGACCAGCCAAGTGTGCTAACCACTGAACCCGGAGGAACTCCAGAGCATTGTTCTGTCTCTCATTGCCGTGGAGTCAGAATCAACTCAGAGCTGGCCCTCCAGAAGGTTTCCCAGGCAGCACATCACACAGAAGGAGACTGCTCAGCTCTCTTCCTCGGAGCTGCTGGTGGATTGGAACCACAAGAGGGACAGCTTTGGAGTTAGCAGCACCACTCCCTAGGGACTGCGCCACCAGAGGCTGTTAGCACTGTCAAAATCACAGGCAAAACTCCTCTGCAGTGCAACCATTCTAGAAGGCAGTTTGGTGCTTCCTCAAAAAACAGAACATAGAAATTCCATATGACCTAGCTATTCCACTACTTGGAATATACCCTGAGAATATGAGAACTGAGCCAAAAGCTGAAATATGTGCACCAATGTTCACAGCAGCATTATTCACATCGCAAGAACATGGAAACAGCCCAAATGTGCAACCACAAACAAATGGATTGAGAAAGTATGGTACATTCACACAATGGAGCAATAACTTTGTAAATTATTACTTAACTTGGGAGAGACCAGAGAGCATTATGCTGAGTGAACTCACTCCGTCCCACAAGGATAAATATTGTATAAAACTGTTATTGTTGAACAAGTATAAGGATCCAGGAGGGGTGGGAGAGGCTGGAAGCAGAGGGATGTGGATGTGCAGGGGGTGGGGGGATTAATCATGGGTTGTATAATTTGATGGGATGGGGGTGGTGAGGGAAATTGAAAGAATTTATATTCAAATTTTGTAAATAAACTGGAAGGAAAGAAAACCCCACTTCCTTTGCAATTATACAGAGAGGAAAAAGAGTTATATAAACTGCTTTCACCATATAATCTCCTTTGATTCCATTACAAATATTTGCAGGAAGTATGATTTGACACTGGCAGCTCTGGTGCCCTAGTTGGTAAAGAAGTTGAGCTTCTAATGTAAAGGCAGGTAGTTTGAATCCACCAGTTACTCTATGGGAGAATGGTAGGCAATCTCCTCCCAAGTAATTTGCTGCCTCTGAAAACCCCCTAAAGGTTCAGTTATGAAATGGCTGTGGCAATGAGAGAGGAAGATGATTTGAAACATCCTTTTATTTTTTTCTGGACTGCTAATAGTTTAATAGTTTATTCCTTGTTAATACCTTTTTTCTACACAGTTAGAACTTTATTTTACTTTTAAGATTGTTATTGCTCAGAATTTTATTTTATTTTTAAGACTGTTATTGCTCAGAAGCACTTAGGAGATTATGGCATTTATTTTTTTCCTTTTTAGAGCTTAAAAGTCTTGAGAATCATTTACATTCAAATTTACTTACTTTTGAGATGTATATGTAATATTTTTGTTTGTTTTAACTGATACATCTTTTAATTGATGAGAAAACAAACCCCTAATGTTTCGGGCTTGGTCAGTGCTGTAAGATCATGTCAAAGCTGTAACCAGCAGCAGATATCGAGTGAGCCCTGAACTCTCAAGATCAGCTGTCCACTTCCACCAGGAGCCTGTGTGTTCCTGCTTGCTGGGAACAGTTTGGGTGTTCCAGGCCACAGGGGCCTCCTAGAGACTGAGTGGGTATAAAAAGGCACTTACTCTGTGCTGTATTCAGACTCCTACAGACACACACCACCTTACAACCACGAAACCAATTTTCCACACTGCCTTTCAAAGACATAAATGGAGGAAATGGTTGTGGTAGCAAAGGGGTACTTTTCCAAGAAGTTCTGTCTTAAACCATCTGCTTGGGGAAATACAAATGGAGACCAGACGGAGAAAACTCAAATGGAGAGGAGGAGGAGAGATAATTTTTTTTCCTTTTTGAGTTGTTCCTTCCTGATAAAAAGAGGGTTAACTTCTTTTACAAAAGGACTTTATGAACCCATTTTGGGTATTTTTTTGTTATTTAGGCAGAACTTTCAACCTAGCCAACAGGAAAATATTAAAAAAAAATTTCTAGGTACTTACCTATTACAGGATTATAGCCAGCAGGTTTGGCAGTATACTCAAAACAGGCTCTAACATCGAGGCTGCATAAAATCAAACACACATTTCTTTGAAAAGATCCATTACTGCTGCAGGGAAAACCCAACATGTTTTCTCAGCTCCTGAAAGCCCTTACAGCCCACTGACGGGGAAAATAGTATCTGATCACTTAGCAGGTTCCCCTTGCCCTTGCCCAGCCCCCTTCTAATCTTTCCTGTGGCTCCTGGGGAGTCTCATAAAGCAAAGGTGGAACGCATAAAGCCACATGCTCACCAAATCCCACTGGGCGCCCCACAAGGCTTAGACGTTTTGTGGCGGAGATCAATCTTGTCGGGTGATACCGTGATGGTTTTCTTAATACTAATCACTGGCCGGGATCTGAAGACAAAAAGAGTTAAAATAAGTTCAGACTTTTGTTCCTGTCAGTGTACGATGAGTTCATTTGGTACATTCCTTAAAAATCAGAAATAGTTACAAAGCCAAACAAATCCCAACCAAATGGATATTTATATTTCTAGGCATTTTTCTTAAAGAAATAAACCATTACATTTTTTTATTACACATATACACACATTTATGTGTTATATGCATGTTGTTGTTGTGTGTTTTCCAGTTGGAACTGACTCATAGCTGTACAGGAGGTTTTCAGAAGCAGTAAATCACATAGGAGAATGTCCATCCTCTCCCATGGAGCTGCTGGTGGATGTGAACTGCAGACCTTTGGGATTATAGTGCAGCTTTTTTACCACTAAGCCAACAGAGGTTCCTATTACATAAATACATATGGCACCCAAGAACTATATCTATCTCTCTTTTCTTTCTTTCTATCTATCTATCTATCTATCTATCTATCTATCTATCTATCTATCTATCTATCTATCATGGAGGGACTAGGCTTTGGAGAGGGACATCATGCTTGAGAGGGTAGAGGGACAGCACAAGTAGGAAGACACTTGATGAGATGGATTGATTTAGTGACTGGGGTAAAGGGGGTAGGTGTGTTAGAGACAATAAAGTTGGCACAGGATAAGGCAGGGTTCAGAGCTATTGTACATAGGGTCGCTATGAGTCGCAAGTGACTCAACAGCATTCAACAACAACAACAATAAATCACTGCTGTCAAGTTAGGATTGGCTCATAGCTAAAACAACAACAACATATCACTGCTGTCAAGTTACGACTGATTCATAGCTAATACTCCATCAGTTTTCCAAGACTGTAAAAGCACATGGAAGGAGATTATCTTTCTCCTGATGGGTAGTAGTCAAGCACACAGCTGTTAACCAAAAGGGAGAAACAAGAGATAGTCAGCTTCTGTAAAGATTTGCAGGCTTCAAAATGGTAGGGAACAATTCTCCCTTGTCCTGTAGGGCTACTACGAGTGGGAGCTAATTAGACAGCCAGGGATGGTGATACTGGCTGCTTCAATGTCTGACATTGAAAAGCAGGGATGGCTGCTTCAATGTCTGACACCTTTTGAAAGGCAAGGTTTCAAGATACTGAAAAAGTATAGATACTAAAAATTCCTAAAAGTTGTTGTATGGAAAATGCAAACATCAAGGAAATTACACTTTCTAGAACTCTGTATTTTCAACAAATATGTGCTACTTTAAAAATGGGAAAAACAACAACAGAAAAAAAAAAAACAAACAACAAAACCCCAAAACACTGAATAATAGATCCAAGCACAGCAAACAGGGATGCACACTGCTACAGTCTTTTTGGGAGGCCTGAATCAAAAGCTTTTTAAAAAAAATTTTTATTAAATTTTATTAATTTTCATGAACATTTACAGAGATTTTGGATTTTCATTTATTCATTGTTGTACTATTTTCTCTACCTCCCCCAGTTTGTTCCTCTTTTTTTTCCCCTTGAAAGTCTGTTTTAATTGTCAAAGCCAGTTCTGATTAATCTCCTTTGCCATCTTCTATCACTCCTCCCTAAGAGAGACTTCACCTTGATTCACAAGGAAAAGGGGACGGTGTATTCTCTTAGCTACTTCCTGCCTTTAACACAATGACTTCACTCTTAAGAACTTATCATTAAGGAACTTATCTAGGACATGAGCAAAAGTAAGGATGCTAAGTATAAAATTGTTCAGCGAAGTAAAAATAACAAAACCAAAAATATCTTTCAATAATAGCACAGCAGATGGCTAAAAAAAAATCACAATATGTATGATACATACAATGATATAAAAGGAAGTCTCTAGTCACCTCTACTTAATAGTGAACTTCACTTACAAAAGTACTCAGGGACATGAAAATAGCCTACTGTGCATTATAAATTTATAAAAGCAGGTTCTAAAACAACACAATCATGATCTTAATTTTTTAAAATGTCTACATACATTCACAGAAAAGAGTAGAATATAAAACACAAATTAAATTTAATATGGTGAATTAGGAGATATTTTTATTTTATTCGTTATGTTCTTGGTAGTGTCAAATTCTATACACAAATATGTTTTTACTCCTATTATTTAGTTCAAACATAGCAAGATTTTCCAAATTATGTTTATTATTAAGTTGGTATACCAGCCTCAAAAGAGTCTCCTGAAATGCTCGCAAGTCTCCACCTTTGAAGTTTATCTTTCTCTCACTGCTGTCAAAGTCAGAACCGACTCATAACTGATTCTCTAGTGGATTCTGGAGGCTATAAACTGCATGGGAAGAGACTGTGCTGTCCACTTCCCTGAGCCAATGGGGGATCTGAACCACCAGAGAGATTAGCAGTGAAACTGACTAGAGAAATATGCCACCTCTATTTTGTTTGACACACAGACATTACATTTCAGCCTTGTTAGTTCAAAATGTCAAAATTGCCATGTAATCTGACTACTGAACATTGTTTAATATTTTTTTTATTTCCATTCATTTATTGTTGCACTTTTCTCCCTTCCCACCACTCCCCTCCAGTTTGTTCTTCTCTTTGAAAAGTAAAATTCTTTCATTGTTTTACAATCCCTCCTCCCAAGTCCATTCCACTACGCAGCCTTCATTCTACTGAACATTTTTAAAGTCAGCTAAGGGATCACATACCTGAAAACAGTTACTGAATCGGAGAGGGAGCCCACAGCAACGTCAGGATAGGAATTTCTATCAAGGTCCATATTTCCGGCAATTGAATATCCAAAATAAGGTGATTTGCCCTCAAGAACCTGAAATAAAAGAGCTTATCAGATGGATGGTGAGCTACCAGTATGACGTTCTTATCGATGCTTTGTAAAGAATATTCACAAGAGTCTTTTGCAAATGAAGCTTAAGAACTCACAAATACATTAGAATAAGCTTATAAATAAAATCCATGTTATCCATTAAATACTTTATCTCCTGTAAGTCATCTGATTTACACAGTATTTTAAAGAATAAAAGAGCCAGTTTTTGAAGAGGTAATATACTTTATTAAGTCACTTAGGACATTTGAAACTAAGTCTCTCTATTTGATCTCTAAAAGTTTTACTTTTCTCAAAAGTAAGTTTTATTTTTTGGTGCATAGAATTTTCGCATAATTATAGCCATGTGCACCAGCTTCATCTCTACCTAATATGCTACTAACAGGAAGCTTATCCTATTTCCATCTCTTTATAATGTTAGGATAGAGAACCAGTCTAACCTTGGATTACTCTGATTCCTAATTTAACTACAAAAGTTTCTATCATTAAAACAAGTAGATCACTATATTTCTATTTTCAAGGTATTCTATATCACTATGTTAAACAATTTAAAATTCCTATGATTGTAGATTTATATGTAAAACATGATTAGTGACAATCCAGTTAAACCTTAATACTGCTTTACAGCCATAAAGCTGAGACCCTTACTGTGGAAATCCAGGTTATTGGGTTACCTGTGTAGGCTTGGTATTTATTCCATTCACGGATCCATGATAGATAAAAACTTTCCCCATACCATCATAAGGGGCTCCAACTGCAATATCTGTAGAAAACATCACATTTTGACAAACATTATTTAAAACCTCTCAATAAAAAAAAAAAATCCCTCAAAACCTCCCAATACAGTGTTTTAAAAGGATATGTTATAGGCACTAAGTACTTTAAACAACCAAATAATACACTTATAAAAGCATCACTTTCATTAATCTATGATCTACCTGGGTAGCCATCTTGATTAATGTCCCCGATATTTTTTACTGCAATGCCAAACATAGAATCTTTTGTTCCATTAAGGCGAATTGGTACGACATTGTTCCATTTGCCTTGCTGGTTCATGTAGACGTACACTGCACCTCCAACTTCTCCATTTCTATCAAAATACTGTGGGGCTCCAATAACTATATCTTGCCACCTAAAAACAATTAGGAGATCTGTGAACCACCGCTAAAATACCAGCAAATTTAACAGTACCAAGTTACACAGTGAGGACATATAGAGATAAAGTAGAAAGGAATTCAAATATAGGACTTATGTTTCATCAAATAAAAACTAAAAAAAAAAAACAACCAAAAAACTAAAAACAACAACAACAACAACAACAACAACAACAAACAAACAAACCCCAATATGCACCCCAAACCTCCAAAATCCCTCTCCCAAGTAGCCAGTAACAAACGCCCGAAGACAAATACTGAGGACAGGAGCTCAAGTCTAGTTCACTAAGTTAGAATTATGGTGCAGTCAAGCCCCACGGAGAGACCCCTCTACCCTTCCCAAACTAGCAACAACAGCCACAGATCTGTGCACTGACGCTGCCACTCACCCCTACAGTCAACAAAAAAATTCTGGATGTTCTGTAAGAAACCACTGAATAGAACCATGGAGGAGCCATTGTGTAGAGTTATTTAGTCTTCCCCCACCCTTCAACTTTTAATTCTCATGCACCTATAATTCTAAGATAACTGTAAAATCTGAACATTGAAAATGTCATCCTACGACTTAGGAAAGGTAACGCGTGTCTGTTGACCCCCTAAAAGTAAGGGCAATGTGACAGGATGGTAAACATACAGAAACAAAATAATTAACCTGCAAAGACGACTATTCTCTACATATACAAATATCAGCCAGAGAAGTAAGGGTTTGCCATATGAAACAACCTAAAATGCTCTTACCCATCTTTATTGAGATCCACCACTGCCACGTCATAGCCAAAAGAAGAGGCCAGACCTTCCCCATCAAATATGTGCTCGGGGAGAAGATAGGTAGACTTGTCATCTTTTTTTAGCAACACCACAGCTCCACTGTGATTGGCTCTTGGAGCACCAGATACAAATGTGAGCTCATTTTTTGAAACAATACCTTTCCCTGAGTCCAAAGAAAAGCCTAGAAAAACAAAATACAATCTCTTAGATCAATCTCCTATTTCAGGAGGTAACTGAACCTGGTACCGCCACATTACCTTTTCCTCTTGCTTTCCACCCTCTCCCAGACCCTCCCAACAGTGATTATATTTAAAATATGAATGAGTTATAAAGCTGAGAAATTCGACAAGTACATAGTGGAAGGGCTATTTCATGGCTTTCTATGGATATTAAGATTTTAAAAGAAAAGCATCAAAGCTATTTAGCATCTATGTAATTTGAATTATAAAACATTCACGCACACTATGAATCAATTTGAATCTTATTTAATACCTATAACTTTGATATAAGTCAATCAACCTATATAGCATTGTGGGATCTACATCATATATAGAGAGAGCACGATTTGACTTAAAGTGCACCTGAGTTCATGTTGCAGGGTTCTGCTATCAGACAGCAATTAATATTTGATTTGTTAATAGCTTCTGTATTAATTGATCTCTTGGTAATCTGGCAAGACTAAATGCTAATATCATTAATATACCATAGAAGCATTTTATTATTTTGGACCAACTCAGTTCTCAGACACAAACATGCAAATGAAACTATGAATGATGATAAATTGTATTTGAGAACCTAGTTTAAACAATAGCGGTGAGTAAGTTGTCATTGATCTCAAAACACATCCTAGTTTCAGAGGGCCAACAACCATTAATGCACCTGATTATAAGGTGTCAGGAGATTCAGAAGACAAATACTGAGATGTGGCAGAAAACAAATTCATAGCAAGTGCCCATTCATATCTAGCACACCTTTTCATGTGGAGGTAAAGCAGGTGCAGAATCATAGAATCTCTCTCTTCTTACTGGGCTTTATTTATGAAAAGTGTCACCACTAGTGTTGCAGTTCTCAAATTGTTAAGTCGAAAAGCAAAATGAGCCATAAGTTTTGAATACGCTGATATAATCCAAACCAGCTCTGAAACCATGTGGGAACAGAGCCTCAACCATGGCATGCTTTATTGTGTATGCTTCACTTGAAATGAAATAGAAAAGAAAAAGGATTTATGCTCTGTATGGATCAAACTTTTTTTTTAATGGCCATGACCAAGACAATTTATCTGCCATCTCAGAGGTCACAAACCTAGGTAGCTATTCATCATCACATCGGGGGACGTGTCGGGCTGCTCCCTGGGCGGCTGAGTTTTATAAACAAACTGATCGGGATCTGTATAGGAAACGCTGGTCAAAAACAGCAAGCCTGTACACACGCAAGGGATGGAAGAGATTGAGGGGGAAAAATCATTACGCTTCGTAAGAGGCAGGGTGACTGCGTGGTGCTCACGGAATAATGAGGCCACTGTTCAGCCACAAGCTGCAATCTCCTCCAGCTTCTAAAACCGCAAGCACATCATTTTACCCCTAAAACCCACTGATCTTTTGAAATGAAAGACTCACAGACTGCTCGGACAGCCAAAACATGACAGTGAGAATTTTTTTGTTAAGGCGTCCATCTTTGAGAAAAACCACTCTAAAAGTGGCAAATGTGTTTCATAAAAATGATTCACTGCTTTATAATGTCCTACCAGCAACTATAAAATGCCTGCACCTGTCCTGAAGACTAAAGGATTAGTTTCTTGACAAAAGCAAATACAATTAAACCCTTCACATGATAGTCTCTGAATGTATTTGCAGAAAGAGTCATCTGTTAAGATGTTTGAAACACAATATTCATGTGTTTATAATATTGAGCCTGAAAAGCCATGTTTACTAATTGAGACTGCAAAGCACTCTCTCCTGGATCCACTCTTGTCCTGAAAGCCACCAGCATCCTGCTCCCAGTATTTTTAGGAGTATTTCTTTCCTTGGCTAGAAGATTATGAACTGTATATTCTTGGACAGGAAATAAGCTGCGGTGTTTTCCTCATAAGCAAAAGAAGGACAATAATGCCTATCATATTGTGCAGAATATGAAAGGAACTAAGTATGTAAAGTGCTGAATATAGTAATTGACTCGCAGCACATGGTAGGTGCTTAATAATTAAAAAGAATTTTTTATATTCCTCTTCTACAGCTAATACCACGTTTCAATGTTTTGGAGGGGGACAGAAGGCCTCTGAATTTTTTTTTTAAATTAACAGTATAACTCACTGCCAAGTCAGAACCAACTCACAGCTGACCTGCCCCACTGGGTTTTTGGGAGGCTATAAATTGCACAGGAGGAGACTGGTCATGATCCTCCTGAGAGCCGGTGGTGAGCTCAAACTCCCAGAGAGGCCTCATCTTTGGTTTGGCATCGCAGCTTCCTATGGACTCTGGCACCAGCACAGTATAGTACAGTACACTATGTACAGCTGAGACAGGATCGACTCATAGCTGACCATCCAGAGGATTTTTAGAGGCTAACAAGTGCACAGAAGGATAATGCCTATCTTTTTTCTGAGGAATAGCTGGGGGATTTAAATTGAGTGCCTCTGAATTGATAACACAACTCCTTAACACTAGGCCACCAGACCTCATTAACAGTACAGTTCACACATGAGGACAATTTTCTTTCAAGTATTTATCGAGACATTGTTTAGAATAATTCATACTGGCTTTTTTTCCTTTTTAATCTTCTATAGTTCTAGTAATATATCTGAGCAAATGGGTATTTCCCCCTCATGTTCTGATTTGGGTTTTTTTAACATTTTTAAAATAGGTTACTATTTAGGTTTAAGAGACTTTTTTTTCCATCCCCCCCCCCCAGGAATGTACAGTAATTATTCTTTATGTCAATTCATACCAAGAATTAAAGCTTTTAAAAGCCTTTTTGTAATTATCATAATGTACATGAACAATTTAGGACACCCATTAGTAATGCAAACAAGCCTTAAGGAGTTAAGGAATTGGCACTTAGGCAGTCTGGGTGTCCTCAAGGCTGTGTTCACAGCCATAGGCAGCAACATCCAGAAAGCCCTGTGCCTCCCACCTACGGCTCTGTGACATGAGGGTCCCAACATAGAAGAAAGGCTAACCTTTTGACACCAACAATCACAGAGTAGGAACCCAGAGGTCTTGAACTGCCACTTACGAGTTACTTTCTGTGTGCAGCTCTTAAGGGAATCTCTAGAAAGAGGCATTGCAGGGAGAAAGGTGGCCTGTGCATGGCAACCATCCATGCATTCTTAGAGCTACACAAACAGCCTATCTCGGGTTACAGTGTCATCAGCTCAGGAGGCCAGGCTTCCAAGATGATGAGCAATTTTTAGGAGATAACAGGTTTCTCTCCAGCTTAAGAGAACCACAAGTCAGAAAGGAAGGATGATACATGCCAGTCAGGTCACCTCAGGATCACCAAAGTTTTAATCAAATTTTTGCAAATCCAGAGAGGGGCTTTAGTGTTCTCACCCTGAGAAGTTCAAGAGACCAAAGGCCCTGGACATCTCTGCCAAAGTGGGCATACGCCTCCACTTATTCCTACCTAAATAACTGTTAGCAGGAACAGGAACCATGCTTTCATCATGGTTAGTCTCTCCACCAACTTCGTAAGGCCCATCTTCAAAGATGTTCATGTCAAAAAGAGTGTTATTCTTTTGCTCTACTCGAACAATCCCTAAAAGGAGTGAAATGGTATAAAGACAACAAAAATACATGAAGATGAAACAAAATAAAATAAATGGTTCCTAACATGCTATGTTACCACTCAATGCAGGAACAAAAGTTTAAAAGGAGGAAATGCAGAGGAAAGGGATGAGTTTTAAGGTTAAAATAAAAATGATGTGGGTATCAATTTTTACATCAAAGAAATTTCTTGTAATAATGGTGAAGATGCTCCATGATTCCGCATGCACTCTCTCTGTATGTCATGAACACATGGGAAGTAAATTGCTTACTTAAGTAAAACCTGCAAAAAAACCAATTTTTTAAATTTCTGTGGGCCTAATACATAGGATATATGATATTCTCTGTAATTCAAAACCATCTTAGCTTCTTTGCAGTAGTGTAAACATGAAATTAACATTTTGATCTTTTCTTTAAATCACTAGAATCAAGATTTGATCTTTTCAAAATGCTCACAATTATCTAATTAAAAAGACAGATATCATACAAGAAGCCTAATTTATAATACAAACTTTTAAAAATATGGTATTATTTTAGGTCAAGGTTTATAAAAGCGGTTAAGACATATTGCCCATAGATTCAAACATACTTGGCTGGTGGGTACTTGTATTTTGTTTTACTCTCTGTGGTAGCTGTTCTTGCTAAAATGAAACTATTTCCAAATTCAACACATAATTTCAAGTAGATCAAACTTGCCCAACAAATTCTATCATGTCAAAGTTTCAAATGTGATGGATGGGCAAAGGAAATTCCTCACACAAGTACTACTTATAGCTTACACGGCAGAGGTTTTTCCCAAGTCATTTTTTTTTAGGGAAAAAGAAAGTATCTTAGTTTTTTCATCACTAGTGAAGATGTTACAACATAGGGTTTATTTTTAATAAATGCCTCAAAAAGGTTTTATGTTCCCGTCAGGCACATTTCTTCTCTTCATGGATTCAAAGTTAAAAAAAAATTGTCCTTTACTAATATAGTAGTTCTTTATACTTTCAGAATTTCTTCAGATGTCAAACTTTCCTTAACAGGAACTGACCAGATTCACCCAGGAAAATAAATGAGCCATTTCCTCCTCCCTTCACTGTTTCCTTTTACTCACACCACAATAATGAAACAATACTAACAAGGAATTTTGCTTCACGTTATCTGTAATTACTGTCACAAAAGTCCTTAATTTGTCTGACATCTGTCCTTCTGACTTTAGGGATTTATTAGCAAAACAGTCTATGGTAAAGAACATGAGAAACATCTGTAATCACACAATGTCATTTATACATATCTCAAACCAAAAAGTAAACCTGCCAGATTCTCCTCCAGTAAATGCTGACTCTGTATGACAGGGCAGACACGGCCTGCAGCGTTTCCAAGGCTGCAGTTTTTACGGAAGCTGACCACTGTATCTTCCTTCTGAGATGTGGATGGTGGGTGTGAAGTGCCAGCCTTCTGGTTAGCAGCCAACTGTTTTAACCACTATGCCACCACGACTCCTTTATTTATACACAGTGCCACTCAACTATTCACAGGGTTCAAAACACTAACTTAAAATGAAAATCTCTAAATTCATAAAACAGGCGAACACTAAAGAGCAAAACTTACTCATGTTAACTATTCGATTCCTAAAGGAAAAAGAAAAAGTGAAATGAAAATTACCTGTAGAGAGGAAAAAACAAAAACAAAACATAAAACTGAAATACATTTATCACAAATATTTGTTCTTAAAATACCTCATTATTTAGAAAATTTAATTATTCCACATCCATAATAAACAAACGTCATATAATGCACTTTGTTTTAACTTAAAATGTATTAAGCCATGGGATATTTTACAGAAACAATACAAAGATTTTTCCCTATTTCTAGAAATAAACTGTCATACCTTTCCAATTGTAAGTACCAGGAGCTCCAAACACAATGTAATGAAAATCTTTAGTGAACGTAGCTGCCACACCTTGCTGGCATGAACCGAATTTTTCATGGCCTCTCAGACGGCCGTCACAAAAACTCCAGTCTCCTCCGTCCATGTCGTCTTCAATCTTGAGATTCTGACTCAGGACGTAACATCTCCCAAAGATATCTCGGGATTCCTGCTTCGTATTAACATGCTGCCTTTTTTCATATCGGTGAGCACATGTCTGCAAACACATGGGAGAAAACAGCCCATTTGTGTCCATAAATCTTTGAAAAAGTATTCTTTTCAAAGTCCAGATTAATAACACTGTCAACAACAGAGGTTACTGACAAAAGAACAAATGTGTCTTGGAGAAAGTACAACCAAAGTGCTCCTTAAAAGCAGGAATGAGAAAACTCTGTGTCACAAATTTTGGGCATATTATCAAGGAATGGCCAGTTCTTGGAAAAAAGACATCATATTTGGAAAGGTGGAGGGTCAGTCGAAGAGACCCTCAATGAGACAGATTGACACAGTGACTGTAACAATGAGCTCAAGTGTGTCAGATGACGAAGACGACACAGGGTAGGGCAAGGTTCAGATTCACTGTCCTTAGGATCACAATAAGTCGTGTCAACTTGATGGCATCTAATAACTATTAAAGAAACACACAAAACCCCCCAAGTTACCATGAGGTGCATTCTAACTCATGGTGCTCACATGAGTAGAACTGGGCTAAGCAAGGTTTTCAAGGACTGATTTTTACTAATAGACCACTAGATCTTTATTCTGAGTGATCTCTGGAGTTAGCTCGGGGTGCTAACCTTTCAGTAGTTAATCCAAAGCTCTCACTTTTTTGGTTAGAAGTCAAGTGTCTTAATTGCATGCACCACCCTCTCAAAAACCCCACTGCCGACCAGCTGGAATTGACTCACAGGTCCAGCAGGTTTGCGGAGGCTGTAAATCACATGGAAGGAGACTGTCTTTTCCCCATACAGCTGCTGGTGGATTCAAACCTCCATGACTCCCATGTTGGACCAAGAGGTTTATCCCTGCCATGAAGTTCTGCTTTGGAGTCTATGAGGACTCTAATAATGAGGCCTCATCCTGGGGTAGGGAGCTCTGGTGACTTTGTGATCAGGAGGTGCACTGCTAACCCAAATGCACACAAGTCTGAAACCACCAGCTGCTCCACAGAAGAAAGACAGCCAAGCTCCTCTTAGAGGATTTACTGCTTCTAAACACCTACTGGAGGGTCAGCTATGGGTTGGTTCTGACTCAGTGGTACATAACAACAAAACAGCATTCTGGGATGGATCTCAAACCATCAATCTTCCCCAAAGTGCCCCTAAAGACTTAGCTAGAAACAAGAACCTCTATCTTATTTTTACCCAGAAAACACTGTCACCCAAATATTATATATGCATCTATAATCCACAGGCAATTGACTTACAACTTATTACACAAAGGGAAAATTTAAATTTTCCTTTTGAGTGTATGTGTTCCAACAAAAGTACCTAACAAAAATACGGGGTAGATTGTACTTGGTTTGCAGGCCACAGTTTGCTGGCCACAAGGGACTGGGAGGGTGCAGGAAGGAATTATTACAAATTTGCCCTTAAAGTGTCTATAATATCATAAAAGAAATATAATACAACTAAGACCCAAGATCTTTCTTTTTTTAGGCTGTATCCATGCTTTTGGCACAGGATCATCCTCATGAAGAACAACTCTGTTTCCTAAGCTGGGGTTCACTATCAGCACACCACTGGGAAGCACGAGCCAAGAGAAGTGGGGAGGTAGAGTGGCGGGTGGCTAAATACCTCATTTTCTGAATTTATTTTTAATGACTGTATAAACTTTCCCATCAGCCTCTTTGTGAAAATGAGCAGTTATGTTTACAGGAAGAGTCAGAGAAACATTTTCAGTGGATTAAGCAAACCCAACTAAAACAAAGACATTTCCCTTTTACCCATACTATTTCCTTGTAATCAAACCTAACTCAAATTCTAAATGCTGAGATTATTTCCCTATAAACATTTATACAGAAACAGAATTACACTTCAAGAAGAGGCATAATAATTTCTCTAATTTTTACTAGGTATTCATGGTTACGTAACACAGGCTGACAGTATTGTATGCCACCCAAGTTATTTTTCCACTATGTTCCTTAAGTATCAAAATTCAGTGTTCTGTAAGGTAGTTGTTTTTCTCAAAATTCAGTATAAATTTGTTATACCCCAGGCCTAGTTTTGTATAGTTTTTCTGTTTTAAGACCATCTTGAGTTTTAAGATATTCCACAAAGGTTTATGAATAAGTTATCTTAATGCTAAAGCGTTAAAGAAATAGAGGTGGAACGGCTGTTTCAAAGGATACCAAGAATCACAGGAATCCCAACAAAGGACCCCCTCAGTCCAACAGTCATGAGAAAGGCACTTTTTAGAGCACAAAACAGGAACAAGAGGACAGTATTTGCCCCAAAACAGAGCTCAAAAGGCAGAAATGAAGAATGCCTGGGTGGAGAACCCCCTGGAAGGGGGTCCTGTTACACTGAGGACTAAGTGGCATTGCTAACTAAAGGCTGTACCTCTCTGATGATTTAAATCTACCAGTGGCTCTGAGAGAGAAATATAGGCAATCTCCTATCATGTGATTGGAAGTCTCAGAAGCCTAAGAGTAAGTCAGCTATGTCCTGACTTAATGGCAATATCACAAAACAAAATGTATATAAATTGCTGAATGAGCAATTAATGTGCTCTGTAAATTTTCACCCAGACCACCATGAAATGCTATTAAAATGAAAAGATTCATGGGAAAAATAACATTTCAGTTTATGTTTGGCATGAAGTTCTGCTTTAGAGTTCTTTGTTTGCCAGAAGATTAAAACTCCATGGGAAATTCTGTCTGTCTTGTTCACCACAGTGGGCCTGGTGGGAGAGGCCCACGTATGGCAGGCACTCACACGTCTGCGGGATGGCTCACTTCTGACACTTACCACAACTTTGCCCCCGGGGCCCTGGCTCTGCACCGTGACGCCCATCCACTGGTCCTCCTTGCTCTCTGATGTAGGGTCAGCTGTGGAACAGAAGTACAGGTCACATTCAGTCAGCACACCAAAATGGCAAAAACAGACTACGTACCAAGTCTCAAAACCATAATCCAAACCTTACAGCACAGTAAATGCAATTATTCAATAAGATAAGGTATTGCTTTTCTCAAGAAAAATGGGTAAGTAGTTATCTGTAAGGGTCTTTCTTAGACTTCTCCACACAGAATGCAGAGGTCTGAGTGGAGGCCCGTCTAGCCCCACATCTGCCTCTCTCTCTCAGACACCAGATACCTGGACAAAAGGAGGGAGTGGCAAATTGTGAGATTGAAGGGTAGACTTCCAATATATGCTCTTAAAGCAATAAGGCAAGATACAATTGCAAAAGCCCATCTGCAGTAAAGTGTGCGAAAGCTGTAACTTGTGCACCTGTGCAAGGCAGAAAGCTGTCAAATAGAAAACACAAGTATTTTCCACTGAAACAAGTTGACAGCAAGTGGTAAGTCTGTACTTTGTCAAAGGCAGAAAACCTGGGATAAACAAGGCAGTCCACTTCTCACAAACAAAATGCATGTATGCCACGACATATTAGAACATTGTTAACAAGCTCTTCTTACTTGAGTTGAGAAGACAAGGCCTCTGATTCATTTCAGGTCTCTTGGCTGTGACAAGGGGCGTCTAGTCAGTGCCAACAAAAAGAGGACTCTTTTTTTTTTTTTGGCTAAAAAATGAATTTGAAGCCACAAAGAGCACCATCTGCTCACTTCACTATTAATTTAAACCCATTGTTTAGCCCTGTCTCCAAATCCCTTCTTTAAAAAGGGAAGGAAATGTTTGTTCTCCACAATGAGAAAAAGGGTAAAAGCTTTAATCTGAAAATATTTCAAGAATATGAGAGTTAAATCATCTTACACAGAGAGGGAAGTGTCAAAATGTTAAGGAAACAGGTCTAAATACAAAGATTCTCAGTAGGTTGTGGGATTGTTTTCTTTTTACTTTATAGGTCTATGCATTTTACAAGTTTCCTACAATTAACGTGCTTTTTTTCTCATCAGTTGGAAAAAACAACAAGTGCTATTTTAAAACCTGTAAAAACAAAAGAACTTGAAACATGAGTCTGGAAATCTATTTAGACTAAGCAAGCCAAAATTTGGCTCGTAGACTGTCAGGATGTTAACTATTCTGTCAAACCTCCAGGAGACTGGGCAAAGTGGACACTAAGGGGACCCAAGACACATAAATGCAAGTCTTCACTACACCAGGGCAAATTTCAACCCTATCAGTATCTTCTCACTTCAGAGACATATATTTGACACTCAAGTAATCTTTTTCTCAAATATTCTAACAGCCGATGAGAACTGTTGGCTGCTCAACATATTCCACCCTCTTCATTGCTGGGAATTGCATTTTTCACTCGCAGCTTCCTGTAGAATCTCAGTGCATCACTAGGTGGCAACATCAATACACCATATTCATTTAGAAACTAGGGGAAGGAGAATCAGCAAAGATAGGCTTCGCAGTGTGCCTTAGAATGCAAATGTTTACGAGGTAAGCAAAATTAAAAATAAAATAAAACTCCCATTACCACTGAGTCAATTCACTTACAGCAACCCTACAGGACAGAGTAGAAATGCCCTACAGGGTTCTCAAGACCGTGGTCCTTACAAAAGCAGATCTGCACCTCTTTCTTCTGTGGAGCCACTGATGGGTTTAAACCACCAACCTTCTGGTTAGCAGGTGAGCATTTCATTTCACCACTGCACCATTAGAGGTCCTTTGTGTCCATTTGGGTAATACACACAAACAATCATTGATACTGCAATTAGAAGAGGTCCTCTCTTCTGGAATAAATGCTTGTAACCCTGCTTGCCTTTGTGTGGAAAGGGCAAGAGAAGTACAGGCAAGCTGGTGAAGTCAACAATGAAGCCAGAAGAACTCACCATTGTTATCAAATTCAATCCGTGTGCATGGCCCCTGGGAGGTGATGTCACAGCTATACAAACCTCCTGTCCGGTTAGCTCTCTGCAGTGGAAGGGCCCTGGCCTGAGGGGCCCCCACCAGCAACCTGTCAACAAAAGAGAGAAAGCCTTGGAATTTACTACAATTTGACATTAGGTCGATCAGTACCACCCTTTGCCAAGAAACCAAACGCAAGGTCATCGAGTCCAATTCATGGCAGTCCTCTACCTGATGAAAATCTTAACAGAAGCAGACTACTTCATCTTTCTCTCAGAGTTTGAACTGCTGACCTTTCAGTTAGTAGTCCAACACTTAACACATTATGCCACCAAGGATCCCTCTAAGTTTTCAGCTGATTCTTTGACAGCTACATAACGAAGGACAGGGAGCAAAGGGAGAATTGGTGATTGGTTCAAACAACACACAAATACCCTTGCCTAAAGAGCAAAAGGATGCTAGCTTCTAATATCTCTCTTCTGTATAACAGTTTGATGTTGAAAAGGCATAATATTCATATAATGTTGTTGTGCACCATCAAGTCAGAACTGATTCATATCTGGTCCTCCAGTGGGTTTTCAGAGGCAATTAACTGCACAGGAGCAGACCTGTCCTTTTCCATGGGAGCAGCTGGTGGCCTCAAACTACATGCCTTTGGGAATGCAGCGCAGCTTCCTGCCACTAGGCCACCAGAGCTCCCATGATACCTAAACCTAAGTCAAACTAAAAGCCAAACCAGCTACCACTGTAGCTCTGTGTATCAGAGCAGCTCAACTGTGCTCTGCAGGGTTTTCAATGGCTGTCACCTTTTGGAAGTAGATGGCCAGATCTTTTTTCCATGGTGCCTGCTGTTGGTTCTCACTATGACTCTTTTGGTTACTAGCTGAGTTTATGTCACCTGGGGAGTCCATAAGCCAAGTAAGAAACTCAACTGACGAAACAGTAAATACTTTCAAAACTAAAAATAAAATATGATCCAGCTGTACTTAATAACTGATAACAATGCCTAATGCTGGGCCTTTCTAAGGTATTTTAAAGGTAATTTAATCTGTACCTAAGATACAACTTGACTGAAGTGCATTCCTGGCCTCATTCAAAGCCAATTCTTACTTGCTGGCATTCCTGTCTTCTCAGGTGAGAATCTCCGGCAAGCAATCTCCCACAGAAGACTGAGAAATTCAGAGATTTGCACAGATCCTCTATTGTTTTGGCACTGTAACAGTCCTTTCCCCCACCCTACAGTTACTGTAGTGGCCTTTAAGTTGCTGGGTGCTTTCAAGCTGATCAGTGTTAAATCACAAGAGACCCAAAGGCAGAGAGTTTGGAACTGCCCCTTATCACTTCCCAGGCTACACCCCTCACAGACTCACAGACACAGATCATCAGGCCTTTTCTCCTGCAGAAGAGCTGGCTGGTCCACCCACTCATCTCTCTCCCAGGCATTTCAGCTACTATGCCACCAGGACTCCTCACACCTCCTAAACCAAGCCAGCCTTCTTACAATCACATTATCTGACAACCAGAGGGACCCCCTTTCCTGGGCTCCTTTTGCCAGTGCTCTTTATTCATCATGATCTAAATGAACTGGGGAGGGAAATAGTGAGCTTAAAGGGAAATGGAGAGGGAGCTGGTGCAAAGTTGATAATATCAATGTGAAAACAAACAATAAGCACCCCAATCAGAATAAAGCCACTCTTGGTCTTGAAATCTTAATCACAAATCTTAAATCTAAGCAAAACACTCGCTCACTGCTGTTGGGTAGGTCCTGACTCATGGGGACCTCCAACTAGGCTTCCCTGAGGCTGCGATTCGTACAAAAGGAGACTGCACAACTTTCTCCCTTGGAGACATTAGTGGATTCTAACTTCCAGAGACCAAAAGCCTTAGGGTTAACAGTGCATCTCACTAGAGACTCCACTACCAAATCACTCCAAAGCAATTGCACCAACCACACAGTCCCGTGACTTCTGTCCCTGTGGGGTCACAATAATTTAATACCTCTATTTTGTAAAATATTTTAAACACATATTTCCCACCTGAATGAGATGCACTTTATCTGTTGCTCTTTTTAAAATTTTCTACTAGTTTATCTACAAAATTTGAATACAAATTTGAACAAATTCTTTCAATCACATATTTAAAATACTTTTCTCTCCACTTTACTTTTATTTTATATTGGTTTGTATACAAATTCATAAACACTGTATCATTCATATACACTGCACTTCACACACACTGACATTCACATCGTGTTTCAAGCGATCATTCATATATGTTGTGTTTTATAAAATTAATCACCATTGAGCTATGGTGACCATTGCCCTGTTTTTGCAGGTCCCCACTGGATCTTTCCCAATTCCTTCACACAGACCCTGCTAAATGTAATGCATTTTTAAAAACAAACATTCATGCATTTACACAGACACAAAAAACTAACAATGCAGCCAGTGCAGCAGGAAGACATGGTCTTGGAGGAATCAGACTCCACCCAGGTGCGTCAGACAGGCAGGTGACTCACAGGAGCACACACCCCGGCACTATCTCTTCCTAGTCCCTGGACTGTGGGCACTTAGCACAGGATCACAAATGGATAATCAAGACAGCATGCACCCAGATACAGAACTGCGCAGAGCAAACGGAAACGCCCCTCAGAGGCACAGGTGACCCTGGCATCCAGCTCCTCTCCAGGGAAGGCCAGAGGCTGTGGAGGACCGTCTCATGCCTCCAGTAGTGCTGTCTCCAATCTCTGGAGCTCCACTGTGCACTGAGGGGTGACTGGCATAGACTGCAAAGTGAAGAATTCACTTACTTAGAAGATCAAAGCCAGGACTGCTGGGCATGGGAGGTGCCAGAGCACAGGGCACAGCCTGGGCAAGTACCCAAGACAGTGTCCAGTCCTCTAGTTTTATAGATGAACGAACAGGCCTGTGAAGGAATAAGGATTCTGCCTCTAAAACCTCGCGGTTTGAGGGCAGCCAGGACCAACTCCCCGTGTGGTGTCTTCTCTACTCCCTTCAGCTGCTTTCTCGCTCGCTTGCTCACAGCTGTGGAGCGGGAACTGACTCACAGCTGACCTTCCAGGGGGTCCTGAGACTGTAAATCTCACGAAGAGATGGCCAATCTTTTTTCCAAGAAGCTGTTGGTGGATTTGAACTGACTGTGTGGCCTTTGAGTTAGCAGTGCCACTCTCTAAGGACGACACTACCAGCGCTCCTGACCCAGGAGCTAACCGGATTTGAAGTCTCTGGGTGCTTCAAATGGTTAACACATTTGGAGGCTAAATAAAAGGCTGGAGGCTCCAGAGGACCCTTGGAAGGACAGCCTGGCAATCTTTGGAAAGATCTGCCATTGTATTCACTGTGGAGCACAGTTCTGCTCTGACACACACGGGGCTTACTTAGTGACTCAGAGATGCCTCAGCGGCACTGGGGCAACTGAGTTAAAACAGCAAGGCCAGCACAGTGAAGGGCAGAGGCAAGAGCAGCTCAGTGTGCTGGCTGGCTCTTTAGCAGAAAACACAAAGTTTGAGCGAAGGCAGACTTAAAGCATGACTGTAACTGGGTGGAGTGAAGGCTGAGGAAGAGATTTCCAGTAAAGGTAATCAATTAACTGCAAAGGGTGGAAGACCTGCCCAGGAGCCCCAGTATCACCATGTATTCCTCTAACCACTTCCTCTCCTGGCCACACCCCAAGAGGCCCATAAGCTACCTAAGGCAGGTACTGGGCTTGTTATTTCCTGTTTGCTGCCCCTTACTCATCTGCTCACTTCTTCATCCCACCCACGTTTCTCAAGAGTCTCCTGGGATGAATCTGCCAAACTCAGGAGGAGCCAGATGCATGAACAAGTCACTAAACTGCAGAGAAGGAGTCTTGGTGGTGCGGTGGTTAATTACTCAGCTTCAGACCTTAAGGTCAGCAGTTCAAACCACCAGCCACTCCATAAGTGGAAAGACCTAGAGATTTGCTCCTATAAAGATTACAGCCTAGAAACCCTATGAGTCAATTTCACTCTGTCACACAGGGTACTCAAGGCACCTGAGAACAATTCCATCAACTCAAACTGGGTTTGTGAGGCTGTAAATCACACAGAAGGAGATTACCATCTTTCTCCCAAGAAGCTGCTGGTGGACTGGAACTCTCAGAAAGGTCCAGCCTTTAGGTCAGCAGCGCAATTCCTTGCAGACTACGCCCTAAGCCACCAGATACAGGGGAGCTAAGATAACGCAAGGAACAGATAGAGTGCTGTGCTGTCTAGAGGAGGGTACCAAACCCTGCCTGGGAGAAGTGTGTCACCACGAGATGGCGAGGGAAATGGTGATGTGATAGCACAGGGCTGCGGGTTAGCACCTGGTCTGCAGAGCTCTGCATTCATGGGACCAGGGGTCAGACCAGGACACCCGCCACAGGACTCGAAAGGACCGCCCCCAGGGAAGCCCCATGCCTTTTTCCCGACTATTGTGCCCAGCTGGGGGTGGTGCCTCTGGGTTTCCTATTGTTTAAGGAGCTGTAGAGCCGTTCCTCAGACACTGATGGGCCCACTTCCTCCAGGCCCTCCTCCTAGCTGCAGTGCCCACACTCAGTGGGCACAAGGCAGGTCTTCTCCCTCTTTGCCATTTTCTACTTGTCCCCCTTCCTACTCTGGCAACAGTAGACCTTGACAGAGTAGGTGTTTGACTTGAGTTGGCTGGTTGATTATAGGAGCTGTGTAACAAAATTTCACATATGCTTAAAATGCCTCACATTGGCAGAAGAGGTTTTACTTGAAGGTTCCTGTAGATTCACAGAAGGATGAGGGAAGCAGCAAAGTTTTGGGGGTTAAAAAACACATTCTAAGAGAACACTACAAAGTGTCTCAATGGAGAACAGTATTAGCTGTCAAAATGCCCTTCTTGGGCTCTGCCTCCACCTGTGGACAGCACCATCCTTCCGCTTAGATGCCTGGACTGGGAACCTTCACTGAATGGGTCCCACCTTGGATAGTAAGCAGGTTTGTAGTAAGCAGGCTTGGAAATAGCCAAAAGATAAAAAGCAGACACTGAACAGCAGAGGGCGCCCGTGCTCCAGCTGCATCACAGTCCCTGGGACCAGGCTTTCAGCAAAGCCAGCGTG